ATGAAATGGAGTCTAGTATTTGCTCATTATAACCAAAATAACAGCCAGCGTACGATAGCAGCGACATCTATACGAAATAACAAGAAGTCGAGAGACCTCTCTGATAGCAAATTAGGTGAACCCCAAATTTAAAGCCTCTTGCTAGAAGCTTTTAACGACGCTAGAAGTATCCTTTTACTTCGACATGCATCTACGATTCACCATTAATCATTAGCATCTTTTTCGCTCTTAACGTAGAGAAAGACGTTTAAATGAAAGTAAAAGATTGCATTTCATTTCAATCGAAACTCCACCATTGCCCTACACTTGTTTCGGGTTATTGAACCCATCGTCAGGAGCACTTGTGAAAGTTCAACTGAAATGAAATGCAGTCTAGTATTTGGTCATTATAACCAAAATAACAGCCAGAGTACGCTAGCAGCGACATCTATACGAAATAACAAGAAGTCAAGAGACTTAACTGATAGCAAATTAGGTGAACCTAAAACCTTAGAGCGAAGATGATAGGGCTAGGACGCTACTCTAAGCAAGGTCCATATTTGTTTTATCCATAGGTTACTTTTAATTCTAGTTTACTATGTTTTATATGCCATTTAGGATGAGTCTTTCGTTTATTTTTAAAAAATGACAGAGGAGATATTAGTCGGTAGTTGCCCGGATTCAAAAGTGCCATCACTTTATCTTTCTTATACAGTTTCAGGATCCTTTAGGTGTCACGGCAATTGCTAAAGAGCTCTAAGATCCAGTTCTTGGAGAGTGGACATAAGTTTTTTATTTGTTCCACACAGCATCATCCAAATCTACTAAATTGCCATTCTTCATTAAGTATATGATTTGGTTTAGTTGTTAATTGTGAATGGCGGCTCTAGGCAATTTTGTTCATACATCGGGTTTCTTATTATTTTTAATTTATGTGGTCTTAAGCTGGGTCTTGCATTTCGTAGGAGCTAAGCTACCTAGTCTGGTGCTAATTTATGGATTTTCTTGGTTATAGTAGAGTCATAGCCCAGTTTTTTGATAAAGTTGCACGATATCTTAAGGTATTGATCCACACTGTTACGTCGCTGAGTATTTCTATTATTTCTGCGCTATCGCTCTGATATGTTCTGGTAATTGGATTTTCATTATTCAGTTTTTCGTATTTGGCCAGAATGATTTTTTATTTCTTGAAAATATGTGGTCTAAAATACTTTGCAACCTTTGGGTATGTGTTGTTTTGATATTTCCTTGACCAAAGATTTCGTAGTTCTCTGGTATAGGGCTCAGATTATTGACGTTTAATTTATCTGCATAAATAAAATATCAAAATTAACTCCTTGACGCTTGTTTATTGTTCAATGGACAGAATCCGTTTATCACAAACATCAAATTTCGCCTCAAAGAAGAAAAAGGAAAAAACTACAGAAGCGTTGGAAAATAAGGAATACACTGTTAGCCGACAAAGATCAAACACGCAACCATACAAGGCAGTTATATGAGGTAATTAAAGGACAGCTACTCACCAGAATACCTAGAAAAAATAAAGAAGGTTATAAGGATGTCTAGAAAATTTAGACTCCTTTCGATTAATGCCAGGAACATGAAATCAGTAAGTGTCAAAAGCCCTTTTCCTATCCATATTATACAAGTGACCAGAAAAGAAAAACAGTCAATAAGGAATGTAAACGAACGACTATACTTTCGAATGTTAGTCTAAAACCTTAACAGATTAACTAGACCTATTTAGTGTTATAATTCCAGTTATTCCAACACATAGGTAGCAGATGTCGGGCCCTTACTAGACATAAAATCTGTTAGCAACTACAGAGCAACACAATGTACTCTTGACCAATGAAGTCTGCATACTGCATGATTGTCTACACCCGTCTCACTACAGGTACTGCAGCAAAGTACCCTATGGACTGAAACACGGTACGACATCAGAGCCCCAACAGAAATAGTAAACAGGACAAACACATAAACCATACACATGGTGATGACCTTTATAGAAATGATGACTTAATTCATAGGCCGGACTTAACAGAAGGAGGTGCTCCGACAGGAAACTCCAGTAAAAATAAGTCAGTAAAACTAGTAAATCAGAATGCATTAAACAGAAGCAGCAAACTCGTATGAAACTGGGACGAGAACAGATAATGCATTCTCATAAAAGTAGAATTAAACAAAAGAAGAAACAAAGCAGAAAACTCAGCACAAACCCACACCAAAGGTGATACACCCCAATCCTTTAGGGAATGAAAAATGCTGCATATAACACAGAAATCAATGAACAAAAAAGAGAGCGAAAAAAAGGCCTCATAGGCTACCTTGATTAAAATCGAAAGACGGAAATCTAGGTGCAAAGTTCATAGTTTCCAGAGAGTTTCCAAAGAAAGGTTCTTAGGCAAAGAGCATCAGGGGGTGGTGGAGTATCTAAATAATTAGGTACTCTCAATATTTGTATGCATATGTGTGTTTATTAAGAGATTGTTTTTAGGTTATAGTAGGTTAGGTGCTAGGTTTTAAGTTAGTTTAGGTGTGCTTATTAAGAGAGTATTTTTAAGATTCAGATGACGCATGCAAAATACTTGTCTTATGAGCGATCGCATAAGAGTGTTACTGTGATTATTAAGAAACTAAGTTGATTGAAAGATCCGATATTGTAGGCCTGTACCTTTCTCATCAGCTTTAAAGCTGCAGATATTGACCTTTCTCGTCCAGACAAAGCGTTTAAGTTTTCCTTAACCCGTTGTGATGGTTATATTCCTGTGTAAGACGTCCGGGTGAATGGCTACTACCGTTTGTGACTCAAGAAGTACACCGATTGGGTGTTGTATTTGCGATACTTTGAGGCGGAGAAAGTTTAGACAGTAGAACATACTTTGTAGCCGTTCAGGATAAACTTAATAATACAATTATATTTACAACCATGTGAACCAACGTTTGGTGCCTGCTGCGTACTGCGCACCTATAGTGAATTGGCGAATTATCTTAAGGTCAGAGGTCTGTCTTTTGCGGCATGCAAAAGATCGCCAGTGTTATTAATGCCTGTCCAGTTCTTTATGTTCCGTAGCCACGACATTTGTTTGCAACCTACTCCTCTCTTGCCTTCAATCTTTCCCTGGATGATTAGTTGAGGGATTGCGTATTTTTTTCCTCTCAGAATATGGCCGAGGTAGCCAATTTTTCGTACCTTGATCAAATTGAGTAGTTATCTCTCAGTATTTGCCTTTCTTAAGACTTCATCGAAAGTCTTAAGACTTTCTTAAGACTTCTTAAGACTTGATGAAGTTAGTCTATGGACTTTCTCGTTTCTCACCCTATCTTTTCAATGTAATGTGAAACATTCTTCGCAATGTCCACATTTCGAAGGACTCCAATTTATTAATGGAAGGTACTCATAACGTCTATTTGATTTGACTTCAAATTTTATACGAGAATTCCAAAATCGTCTCGGTATTGTCAAGAAGTGAATAATGGTGGTCAAGTTGAACATTTAATTTAATTGTAAAAATTAATTTTCTCAGTTATGATTGCACAAACTCAAAACATTTTATATAGCTGCACAAACAGAGGACTAAAATCCCTTTCTAAAAAGGTGCTAGACGACCCCCTTTGTGATTTAAAATTTTCGAGAATTCAAAGAGGGTGCTGGAAGGGGAAAATATTTTCATACTGTAAATTGTCAATTTAAGAATAAAAATCGACCTGTTTCAGGTTTTTTTTACATAGTACATAATAACACTAAAAATGAATGTATTCCATATATATTAAGTATTTTAACAACCTAATACGATAAAATCACACAAATTTATTAGTAAGATTTGTGTAATATGCTATTTTTATTACATCGTAATTAAGTTTCGCAAGTTTTGAATTTAACGTAGTTACTATATAATTTATACTAAATTATTAAATATTATTGACATGTGGTTTACAAAATATCAAATAAACTATTTCGAACTAGCTAAATTTTCGAATTATCCAATGGGGCAGTTTGAACAAGCTTTTATCATTATATATTCATTTTGTTATCGTCCTTACTCGACGAAATGAGTACAAATGATGGTAATTTATATAGGTAAATTGTTTATGCATAGTGGACATATTGGAATATAAATATTCCCAGTATCGCTCTGAACGGCTTGATTAAGCTTGAGTATATAGTTTACTTTAATTGCTATCGACATTTCACTTCATCTTCCCTCACTAGAGGTCGCTAGTAGCACACTCTGGTAATTATTTTTACTATAATTGCCATACCAGTCGGTGCGTTTTGATTTGGTTTGAGTCTTCTTACAAGTCTCTCTGATGATGGGTAGACCCAGAAACACGTGTTAAAGAATGGCAAGAGACTCAAATTAAATCCAAAAGTAAACGTCTACGTATATTTATTCTTTAATTAATAATTACAAAAGTCTGATATGTTTTTACACTCTTATGACAAATGAAAGAATTAAAGAGAATAGTACTTTAAAAGTGTGTAAGCATTTAATTCCAAGCTGAACGCGTTTGAGCTAGAAAACCATTTTCAGAGATATTGTCAAAATTTAAAAGGAACCAATACAAACGAGTCCCATTGTTCAAAAAGTGGAATAACATTTTTTCCTCAAAATTTAAAACAGTTCTGAAAGTTTCCAAAAAAATATATTAAAATGACAACACATTAATAGACTCAACTCATTTATTTATATATTAGGTAAATTAATTGATGATATTGTCGTATCTTTAGGTAAGGATTACTGTATTGACAAAATCATTCTCTTTGCCTTTATTCCTATTCGAGGTCGGTCTCCCTGATTATATTTATCCATAAGTTTCTAGTTTGGGCCATACCCATATCAATCCTCTTTACCGACCTTTATTTCTGAGATAATTTTTTTAACAAAAATGCCAGTACATGGATGATATAAATCTAACACACATTTATTTATTTGTAGTTTGTACACCACATAAACCTATAAAAATAGATCACAACAGTTCAAATCTTTAATACTAGGTAACTATTCTATCAAAATATTTTATAAATGACTATCACAGGTAACCTCATTGACACTTTCTTGAGCTTCTACTGGTTTAGGTTTGGGTTTAACGTCTCTTGCAGGCGGCGCTAATAACAAACTGAATATGTTTCTGAAAGGTGCTTCCACTGTTAAATATAAAATAAAAGCCGATGAAAAGGCTAATACGATGTCAGAGAAGGCAAAACTTATCTGAAATTTAAATCATATAAATTAATAACACATCATAAACAATTTGTTTTTCTAGAACTTATAATTTTTAATAATCCATAGTCACATAGTATAGATAAAATAATCATATATAAGGTAAATACGTCATAAATACCGCGAGAAGACATTAAAATCTTTGGAAGATATTCGGCACATAAATGTATTAACAAAAATGGCATTAGATTAATCGATCTATGCAGATAAAATAACCTTATATCATGCCAACATCCAAGATGACCAATATCAAGACACAAAAAACTGGCAATCTCCTCGGAGAAAATAAAGGTAAATTCACATCAAGAAGAGAGTTCAACAAGAAAACTATCAGAAAAATGGGACCAGTCTAGCAGATCTAGCAGTTAACTTCAAGAATCGTTCCGGTGGTTCCTCTTCCCTCTCGTCTGCTCCCTTTACCTCATCTCTTTTGTCTTCAGGTTTTCTTCTTCTTCCTCCATATTAAGTGCCTGGTTAAAGTATTCCACCCATCTATTTAATACCTCTTTCCTTGTCGTTAATAGGTCGCCATTCTGATTTCTGCACTGTCTTGTGGTTGCCTTGAATTCTTTTCTATTGTTACAATAAAACACTGAAAACTTTGTTTTCAAACTTCCACAAAATTTATTTTAACTATTATCACTACAGCTGTTTCGGCTGATAGCCTTTCTCAAGTGATCTATTTTTGGCTTGGGTTTACAAATTTATAGTCTCTAATGAAATAGGTTGAGGAGGGGAGAACTGTTTGTCTCAAGTTGGTCATTCAGAATTATATCTGTGTTTTTTAATTTGTTGATTTCCATAGATTCTAACAAAGATAGCTTAAGGCCTTTATTTTGAACGTGAAGAATTTTAAATTTGTCATTAAAAGAATGATTATGATCTAGAAGGTGAAGTGCGTATGTCGAATCTGTTTTTCTATTCTTGAAAGCCCTTTTATGTTCTGCTATTCGTTTATCAAAGTTTCTACCGGTTTGACCGATGTAAGTTTTTGGGCAGTCGCCACATTGAAGTTTATACACACCACTATTTAAGTGTTATTTATTTTGGCTCTTGTTATTTTTAATATATTAACCTAGGTTGTTATTTGTTCGGAAAGCTGGTGTTATTCCTTTCTTTTTTATGTGTTTGGCAATTTTTGTTGTTATTTTGCCTGTATATGTAATCGAGCAGAAGGTACTGGGTTTTTTCTCTGGTGGTGGAAATACTATTTTCAGGGCTTTCTTGTGTAGTTTTTGATTTAACATTTAATTAATTGTTTGTTCGTTGTATCAGTTGTTTACTGCTATTTGCTTAATTATATTTAATTCTGTCTCAAAGTTGTCTTTTGACAACGGAATTTTTGTTAATCTATGTAACATACTATGATAAGCTGCCAGTTTATGTTGTGTTGGATGGGATGATGAATTGTGTATAGTCGTATCAGTATGGGTAGGTTTGTGAAATATGGAGAAGTCATGTTTGTTTTGAAGTCTGCTAATTTTTAAATCTAAAAAATTTATGCATTGATTTTGTTCTGTTTCTATTGTAAATTCAATATGACTATGAAGTGAATTAATATACGATGAAAATTGGTCGAGTTGCCTGTTAGCTCCTGTAAAACATACCAGTACGTCGTCTACGTATCTCCACCAATATAAAAACTGTTTGAATACGGGATGTTTTGATATCTTTGTCTCTAGATGATCCATAAAAATATCTGATAGCAATGGGCTTAGAGGATTACCCATTATAAGTCCTGCACTGTTATTTGTATATATTTTATTATTAAATTCAAAGTAGTCCTGGTTTATGCAAACTTCAAGAAGATGTAAGATTTCAGATGTAATTATTGGATTTGTACTATTTTGGTCTAAAAGGTTTTTTACTAGAATAAAAGTTTCTGTAGGAGGGATACTAGGTATTAGTAGAGATAATCCTCTAAGCCCACTGCTTTCCGAACAAATAACAACCTAGGTAAATATATTAAAAATAACAAGAGCCAAAATAAAAAACACCTAAATAGTGGTGTGTATAAACTTCAATGTGGCGACTGCCCAAAAACTTACACCGGTCAAACTAGTAGAAACTTTGATAAACGAATAGCAGAACATAAAAGGGCTTTCAAGAATAGAAAAACAGATTCGACATACGCACTTCACCTCTAGATCATAATCATTCTTTTAATGACAAATTTAAAATTCTTCACATTCAAAATAAAGGCCTTAAGCTATCTTTGTTAGAATCTATGGAAATCAACAAATTAAAAAACATAGATATAATTCTGAATGACCAACTTGAGACAAACAGTTCTCCCCTCCTCAACCTATTTCATTAGAGACTATAAATTTGTAAACCCAAGCCAAAAATAGATCACTTGAGAAAGGTTATCAGCCGAAACAGCTGTAGTGATAATAGTTAAAATAAATTTTGTGTAAGTTTGAAAACAAAGTTTTCAGTGTTTTATTGTTACATAAAATGAATTTCCATCAAGTAACGGTCGAATCCATCAATCTTTTCTATTGATGTTACTTTTTTATAGAATGTTCTTAATTCTTTCTCTCTGTTGAGGTTTTCTATATACATATTTAAATTCCTTATTTAGGTGGTTTCGTTTTTTTCTTTTGTGTATCCCCATTTCTTTTTAAAATTGAGATACACAGATGAATGCATTCTTGCATTCATCGTCAAACCAATGATTGTTACGGGCACAAATTCAGTTCCTATTTTACCTTTCGCTGCTGCTTCAATGTCTTCTTTTATTCTGGTCCAGTAGGAGTCTATATCTGTTTGGCCTTCTTCATTTACTTTTGGATTCCTTAACCTGTTAGTAATGTTTTGCGAGTACTATTATGCAATTGTCGCATTTCTCAGCTTTTGCACATTTCATTTTTTTGTATCCATTTTATCTTCTTTACTGGTATTTGAAATTCTAGCCCTCATTATTAAGATCACTAGGCAATGATCTGAGTCTGTGTTTGCGCCTATATAACTTCTACAGTTTTATACGTCTGCTCCATGCCTTGAATATATTAATATGTGATCAATATGACTCGTTGTTCTTCCATCAGGAGAGTTTATTGACGTTTCAATTTCCACTTCGGAAATCGTTCTCAAAGTACAAACATTAATCCATCAGTAGAGGTCCAGGTTACCTTGTGTAGGTTCTAATGTTCAAAATAGGTGCTAGCGACTGTCATATTGCTGCTGCTAAATTTATCAATCGTAAACCATTATGGCTACTGATGTTGTGTAGGCTATTCTTTCCTATCGTGGCAGGAAAACTCACTCTCGTCCATTTCTTGCATTCATGTCACCTACTATAATCTTAATGTCATCTCCTGTAGAATTGATCTAGGTCTTCGAATAACTGTTCTTCTATTTTCTCTGGTTTGTCATCTGTTGGCGCATGTGTATTGATCAAACTGTTACTAAACTTTAAAGTCAATAATATGGCCTTTTGTTCTTCGGTTTACAATAAATCCCCTCCCATCTACGTGTTGGCTTTTATTGCAGCTATAATATATGGAATGGGTTCTCTTGTCAAGAGTGCTAGTTCTCGTCCACCGCATTTCCTGCAGTGTTAAAACATTTACTTTGTATGTGTTCGCTAGGTGTAGTAAAGATGTGAGTGCTCCAGTTCGGTACAGGGTTTGGGTATTCCATGTTCCTAATCTCAATTCCATTTTTCGTTTGCGCAGGCGTCGTGAGTTTCGTCTAGCTAATAGTTTCTGAGGTTTCATAACATATGTTTTTTTACAGCTAGAGGTCAGCCTCTAGCCCAACCCCCAACTAGAGGGGGCCAGGAACTCTTCTGTTAGGATTGCCATATCTCAGACTGTTTAGGTTCGCGGTTGGTATTTTTTTTCCCAACTACCCACCGGTTCTATGACCGGTTCCTTCTCCACCACCTAGGGATGCGTTCGATGGGGGATAGACAACTCCCCATTGACGTTATTTTTTCTTCATTTCTCTTTATTATAAAAGTTCGAAGGTCTATTATTCTTTAGGTGCCGTCTTTAATGCCGTCTCTAAACACAGATGGGATTCAGAAAAGGATTAGGTACAAGAGAAGCTCTCTTTGCTTTAAATGTCCTAACACAGAAATGTCTAGATGTTAACCAAGAGCTGCATGCCTGCTTTATAAACTTTGAAAATACCTTTGACAAAGTATGCCACAATCAACTCCTGGAAGGTAAGAACATCGACACCAGAGACATACAAATAGTATTAAATCTGTACTGGAATCAGCGAGCTAATATAAAGGTAGAAGACCAAAACATCGGACGAAATAGAAATACGTAGAGGAGTACGACAGGGTTGTATATTGTCACCGCTTTTGTTTACTATCTACAGCGAACAAATATGCCAAGAAGCTCTCTCACATGCACACGAAGGGATAATAGTCAATGGAGAAGTTATCAATAACATTCGATATGCTGACGATACTGTGATAATGGCAAGAAAAGCGGAAGATCTACAACATCTAGTTGAAAGTATGAATGAGATATGTAATAACTACGGTATAAGGATGAACGTCAAAAAAACCAAATATATGACCTTCAGTAAGAATCCAATATATGACACTAGTATCGCAATAAACGGTACCCAACTTGAAAAAGAAAGCTAATAACACTTGGGAACCCTCATTAATGAAACAGGTGACCAAAATCACGAGATAAAAAGACGTATAGGAATTGCCAGGTCTACCTTTATAAAAATGAAAAAATGATTTTGTAATCGTGATATTAGTATTCATCTACGAACTAGAATGTTAAAATGCTATGTATTCAGTACTTTGCTTTACGGTGTTGAGGCATGGACTCTTAAACAGAGGAATATTAAAAAACTTGAAAGCTTTGAGATGTGGTGCTACCGCCGTATACTAAAAAATAGGTTGGGTGGATAGAAAAGTTGAATACTTAGGCCACTTGATGAGAGGACAAAAGTACACGTTCCTACAAAATATAATGCAAGGAAAAATCCAAGGACGCAGAAATCCAGGCCGT